TGCCCCTACAATTATTGGTGATCATTGGTGGTGCCCCTACAATTAAGGTGATCAGTGGTGAGTGCCCCTACAATTATTGGTGATCAGTGGTGAGTGCCCCTACAATTATTGGTGATCAGTGGTGGGTGCCCCTACAATTATTGGTGATCATTGGTGGGTGCCCCTACAATTATTGGTGATCAGTGGTGGGTGCCCCTACAATTAAGGTGATCAGTGGTGAGTGCCCCTACAATTATTGGTGATCAGTGGTGGGTGCCCATACAATTATTAGTGATCAGTGGTGAGTGCCCCTACAATTATTGGTGATCAGTGGTGAGTGCCCCTACAATTATTGGTGATCGGTGGTGAGTGCCCCTACAATTATTGGTGATCAGTGGTGGGTGCCCCTACAATTATTTGGTGATCAGTGGTGAGTGCCCCTACAATTATTGGTGATCGGTGGTGAGTGCCCCTACAATTATTAGTGATCAGTGGTGAGTGACCCTACAATTATTGGTGATGATCTGTGGTGAGTACCCCTACAATTATTGGTGATCAGTGGTGGGTGCCCTACAATAAAGGTGATCAGTCAGTGGTGGGTGTTCCATAACTTTTGGTGGTCAGTAATGTTTTTTCCCCATAACATTGGTGGTCAGAGTTGTCACCCTTTTACAGGAAATGGAAAATTAAAGAGTCTACTGGCAGTATCAAGAAGTGATAGCAGCGTGAGCACCCCCTGTAACATCATTCTATCAGAATGCATCATATTTTGCCCAACTGTACCGTGTTATGTAATGATTTCTGATTTGTGATCTCACAAGGCAGTGCATGTAAAGGACGAACATAAAGGAAGTCTTTCGTAACATTCATAGCGATTGAAAAAAAAACAAACGCTGAACTTTATGAATGAGAACATTTAAAAGGAAAACTGTCCATATTGCAGATGGCAGCCAATCAAATTCTTGTTTTCACCCACCCTGGATGATTTGAATGTAGAACAAGCTTTCTTACTGTAGGCATTCACTGAGCGATGGGAAAATTCCCTTGTAAAGTGAACTGCCCATCTGCCTTTATTAAATTAAATAAATAAATATATATATGTGTGTGTGTGTATGTATGTATCTATATATATATATATATATATATCTATATCAAATATAGAATTTGCATAGCTGTTCATTCACCGAAACGTGTGAATGGGGCAAAAATCGAACGTTCTCAGGCTACATTCCCTGCAGATCCAATGTGTGAATGGGAAACCAATACCATATAATGGCCACTAGATGGTGCTGATGAGCAGGCTTATGTCCTATGATACTCAGTGCCATCTAGTGGCCATAATGCGGTATTTTCATCTTTTTATCTGTTCGATCTGCAGAGGATATAGCTTGAGAATATTCAGTTTTTCACCATTTTGCCCCATTACCCTACAGAGTAATGTCAGGGAAAGGAAGGAGCTAAAAGACATGCACATTTTCCCATATTCTGTCCCTCTAACACTTTTTGGCAAATAAACAAATTCCTGGCTGCTACAAGCAGACGGCTGACGGACGTTTGTTTACATTTTTAATCCTGGCTGATGACTTTCATAGAAGTTTTCAGGTGGCTTTCTATATACTTGTAAATTACTTCATGCCCCCTTATAGCGGGTATCAGTGATGAGTGCCTCCGTTATAACTTGCCCCCTTATGGTGGTGGTCATTGGTGAATGCCCCCTTATGGCGGTTGTCAATGGTGAGTGCCTCCTTATGGTGGTTAGTGCCCCCTATGGTGGTGGTCATTGGTGAGTGCCTCCTTATGGTGGTCATTGGTGAGTGCCCCCTTATGGTGGTGGTCATTGGTGAGTGTCCCCTTATGGCGGTGGTCAGTGGTGGGTGCCCCCTTATGGTGGTGGTCAGTGGTGGGTGCCCCCTTATGGTGGTGGTCAGTGGAGAGTGCCCCCTTATAGCGGTGGTCAGTGGTGAGTGCCCCTTTATAGCGGTGGTCAGTGGCGGGTGCCTTCTATGGTGGTGGTCAGTGGTGAGTGCCCCCTTATGGTGGTGGTCAGTGGTGAGTGCCCCCTTATGGTGGTGGTGAGTGCCCCCTTTATGGTGGTGGTGAGTGGTGAGTGCCCCCTTTATGGTGGTGGTGAGTGGTGAGTGCCCCCTTTATGGTGGTGGTGAGTGGTGAGTGCCCCCTTTTATGGTGGTGGTGAGTGCCCCCTTTATGGTGGTGGTGAGTGGTGAGTGCCCCCTTTATGGTGGTGGTGAGTGGTGAGTGCCCCCTTTATGGTGGTGGTCAGTGGTGAGTGCCCCCTTTATGGTGGTGGTGAGTGGTGAGTGTCCCCCTATGGCGGTGGTCAGTGGTGAGTGCCCCCCTATGGCGGTGGTCAGTCGTGAGTGCCCCCTTATGGCGGTGGTCAGTCGTGAGTGCCCCCTTATGGCGGTGGTCAGTCGTGAGTGCCCCCTTATGGCGGTGGTCAGTCGTGAGTGCCCCCCTATGGCGTTGCTCAGTGGTGAGTGCCCCCTTATGGCGGTGGTCAGTAGTAAGTGCCCCCCTATGGCGTTGGTCAGTGGTGAGTGCCCCCTTGCCCCCTTAAAGCGTGTCCCCTTATGGCGTTGGTCAGTGGTGAGTGCCTCCTTTCAGTGGTGAATGCCCCCTTATAGCATGTCCCCTTATGGTGGTGGTCAGTAGTACATGCCCCTTTATATATGGTGGTGATCAGTGGTGATTTCCCTCTTATGGCGGTGGTCAGTGGTGAGTGCCCCTGTATGGTGGTCAGAGGTGAGTGCCCCCTTATAGCGTGTCCCCCTAATGGTGGTGGTCAGTTCCCACTTATGGTGGAGGTCACTGGTACATGTCCCTTTAAATACTGGTGATCAGTGGTGGATGCCCCCTTATGGTGGTGATCAGTGGTGGGTGCCCTATAATATTTGTTGGTCATCGGCATTTTTTTTCCAATAATATTGGTTGTCAGTGGTGAGTGCTCCTTTAAATATTGTTGATTAGTGGTGAGTACCCCCTTTAAATACTGGTGCTCAATAGCGAGTACCCTTTTATGGGGATGGTGAGTGCCCCTACAATTATTGGTGATCAGTGGTGAGTGCCCCTACAATTATTGGTGATCGGTGGTGAGTGCCCATACAATTATTGGTGATCGGTGGTGAGTGCCCCTATAATTATTGGTGATCGATGGTGAGTGCCCCTACAATTATTGGTGATCAGTGGTGAGTGCCCATACAATTATTGGTGATCAATGGTGAGTGCCCCTACAATTATTGGTGATCGGTGGTGAGTGCCCCTACAATTATTAATGATCAATGGGGAGTGCCCCTACAATTATTAGTGATCAATGGTGAGTGCCCCTACAATTATTGGTGATCGGTGGTGAGTGCCCCTACAATTATTGGTGATCGGTGGTGAGTGCGCCTATAATTATTGGTGATCGGTGGTGAGTGCCCCTACAATTATTGGTGATCGGTGGTGAGTGCCCCTACAATTATTGGTGATCGGTGGTGAGTGCCCCTACAATTATTGGTGATCGGTGGTGAGTGCCCCTGCAATTATTGGTGATCGGTGGTGGGTGCCCCTACAATTATTGGTGATCGGTGGTGGGTGCCCCTACAATTATTGGTGATCGGTGGTGGGTGCCCCTACAATTATTAGTGATCGGTGGTGAGTGCCCCTACAATTATTAATGATCGGTGGTGAGTGCCCCTACAATTATTGGTGATCGGTGGTGAGTGCCCCTACAATTATTGGTGATCAGTGGTGAGTGCCCCTGCAATTATTGGTGATCAGTGGTGGGTGCCCCTACAATTATTGGTGATCATTGGTGGGTGCCCCTACAATTAAGGTGATCAGTGGTGAGTGCCCCTACAATTATTGGTGATCAGTGGTGAGTACCCCTACAATTATTGGTGATCGGTGGTGAGTGCCCCTACAATTATTGGTGATCATTGGTGGGTGCCCCTACAATTATTGGTGAATGGTGGTGGGTGCCCCTACAATTATTGGTGATCATTGGTGGGTGCCCCTACAATTATTGGTGATCAGTGGTGGGTGCCCCTACAATTATTGGTGATCATTGGTGGGTGCCCCTACAATTATTGGTGATCGGTGGTGAGTGCCCCTGCAATTATTGGTGATCGGTGGTGGGTGCCCCTACATTATTATTGGTGATCATTGGTGGGTGCCCCTACAATTATTGGTGATCATTGGTGGGTGCCCCTACAATTAAGGTGATCAGTGGTGAGTGCCCCTACAATTATTGGTGATCAGTGGTGAGTGCCCCTACAATTATTGGTGATCAGTGGTGGGTGCCCCTACAATTATTGGTGATCAGTGGTGGGTGCCCCTACAATTATTGGTGATCATTGGTGGGTGCCCCTACAATTAAGGTGATCAGTGGTGAGTGCCCCTACAATTATTGGTGATCAGTGGTGAGTGCCCCTACAATTATTGGTGATCTGTGGTGAGTACCCCTACAATTATTGGTGATCAGTGGTGGGTGCCCCTACAATAAAGGTGATCAGTGGTGGGTGTTCCATAACTTTTGGTGGTCAGTAATGTTTTTTTTCCCCATAACATTGGTGGTCAGAGTTCCCCTTTTATGGACAACATGCCCTCTTGCTGCTCTGTGTGTTCTCTTGGTGGTCAGTGTGGAGGTCTGTAAATGGAGATCTCAGTGGAGCACCAGAATGGTGATGTCCTCACACTTGTAGTCCATGGATACTTCCTCCAACTCCACATTGGAAGGTCCATATCTGGGTACAGAGCAGGGCTGGAGGAATCATCTGGAGCCTGAGCATTTTACTGAAAATCCGCTAATTGCGGTTGAAATGCCTTGAAAGCTCCAGTAGAGAAGAATTAATAAATGTTTTTTTATTTTACCTTTTCAATTTAGGTGTATTATTTTCAAAGTTGAAGTATACCTTTTACATTTGTTTTTGATATTCAGAATTTTCTTGTATTTCCAGACTGTAATGTATTGTTCTTCTGCTGTATAATCCGCCCTTCATGGGGTCCCGTTCTCGTTTCAGTGAACCCATGCTGCTACTTCCCATGCCAGCACAAAGGTGTGTGCGTGAGGTTTGACCTGGAAAAAGCTACGAATGTGACTGCACCCACACTGGGTACTATGGAAGAAACTGCACCATCCGTAAGCTATGAAACAGACGTCTTTATCGTATCAAACAGTTGTTTCCTGTCATACAAGCTCTTGAGAAATCCAGCAGCTTTGAACAGTAAAAAAATTCCGTGCATTGCAGGGATGGGGGAAGAAAGAGGAACGCTCTTTTTAGAACATGGATAAACCAGTGGTGGTCAACATATTTGATGAAGGGGGCCTTGTGTGACCCCCAAACATCCCCTGATATTCCATCTTGCAACGGGAGGTGGTCCTAGACTGGGGACATGCTATAGGAGTTGTTGGAGACTGGGGGCATGCTATAGGATTTGTTGGAGACTGGGGACATCCTATAGGAGTTTTTGGAGACTGGGGACATGCTATAGGAGTTTTTGGAGACTGGGGACATGCTATAGGAGTTCCAGGAGACTGGAAACATCCTATAGGAGTTCCAGGAGACTGGGGACATCCTATAGGAGTTGTTGGAGATTTGGGACATTATTATATTATTATTATTATACAGTATTTATAAAGCGCCAATAGTTTGCTCAGCGCTGTACATTACAATGGGGGACAGAACAATTACAATACAATACAATGCAAAACATGAGGGGATGGAGGGCCCTGCTCTTTCGAACTTACAATCTAGGAGGGAGGGGATGGTGGATTATGAATTTGATCCGTTGGTGCAATCGGAAGCCAGTGGAGGGATTTGGCAGAGGGGGGTGGCAGAAATGGAGCGGTTGGTAAGGTGGATGAGTCTGGCAGCGTAATTTAGGATCGACTGAAGCGGGGATAGCCAGCGGCGAGGCAGGCCAGTGAGGAGGGAGTTGCAAGTAGTCGAGTCGTGATATGATGAGGATCGAGTGTTTAATGAGGTTGCATTTAGTCGTGTGTGTGTGAGTGTTCTGGGGTTAGGAACGTGCGGGATTTTGGCGATGTTGCGGAGGTGGGTCTGCACGAGTTTGTTAAAGATTGGTTGGGGACTGGAAGGATAGGTTTGGTCAAGAATGACCAAGTACTTGGCCTGCGGGGATGGGTTGTTGGTGGCGTTATTGGATGTGATGAAGTTCAATGGGTGGCGGTGGGGTGGTGTCCGGGCTGGGGGGGATAGATAAGGACAGAAACTCGGACGCACTTAGCGAGCTGTTCAGTTTAAGGATAGTGGAGCGACACCAGTCTGATATGTGCTCAGTAGGTGTGTGATTTCGGGCGGAGACTGAGGGGGTGAGGGGGGGGGGTTTTAGGGTAGATTTGTATGTCTGGCATAGAGGTGGTTTGAAGCAGTGAGAGTGTATGAGTTGGCCCAAAGGGGGGTGTAGATGGGGAAAAAGGGGGCCCCAGGGCAGAGCCTTAGGACCCCCCAGAAGGGGAAGTGAGGGGGTTCATGAAGGGGTTGTTGGAGATGGGGACATGTACATAAGTTTCCAGGAAAGATAATATTATTATTATTTTATTCTACAGTTTTATGCGCCCAAAAGGGGTTTTTCCCGCGCTGTACAAAAGGGGGGACAATACAGGACAGTACAACAAGACAGCAGGTACGAGGGGTAAGAGGGCCCCACTCTTCCCACTTTCAATTAGGAGGGAGGGGGTAAAAGGGACAGTAGGAAGTGGCTGGGGGGGATGAAATGGTAGGGGGAATAAAATCCTATTTGTTGGGAAGGGGAAATGG